CTATTCTCAAAGTTCGCCCACTTTGTGCCCCAGTTGATTTGACCTGCAAAGCAACTTTCACCTTATTGTTAATGTATTAAACCATATTAGAGTAAAATAAATAAACCATATTAGATATCCGAACGAGGATCTGAGGTACGTCATTATGACAGATCTTTTGTGTTGCCATAAGCGTTATATTGCTAAACAGTTTGGTGTTTATGATTCCAAATTTTTTGTTTTGCCCTAGATTGTTGTGAAATAGAGCTAACATTCTAAATGCAGAATTTCAGTAATAAATTACATTTTAATACTCATTATTTTATTTAACTATAAAAGTAATTAGACCATGAATTTTCCGAAAATGAACAAATTAAATATTTTCGAGAAATGATATTTTATAGGAAAAATAGTTTTCGTTTCAATGTGCTAGGTGAAAATAGTTTTTCATGTAATGGACTGAATAGTAACAAAAGTTTTTTCTTGTTTTTCTCGGCGTTTACGCAACGGTGTTTTGACTTATTTAAGAAACGGGGAAACTTATAATATCAATAATGTTTAGAAACGCGATTATAAAGATGGATCAAGAGTGAAAAAAGGATCAGGCGAGGATCTACGGGATATAAATAAACAATGTAAATATAGGAGAAATATATTATTTATAGCAGCTAAATTTTTATATTATTTTCTAAAATAAACCCTGAATGTAGAAGAGTTATTGGACAACAACAAAAGATGGACGATTATCAAAAGTTAGCAAGGAGTAAAGTTTTTGGAAAAAAGCTTCTCTTTAACGTGGCAACATCAAATCGTAGTCAAAGTTGTCAAACAGCTGTCGTCGTGTGATTCATGGCCAATATTTCTTATCAATTTATTAGCATTTTATTTGCACTCCCATACAATGCTCACGTGTATTCGCTTTACGAGTATTTATAAATTTATATGAACCCAATCACTGTGGGAATAATCTATTCATTCCGTGTAAAATATAGTGATATAAATCAGTACCATGCCAACTTGCCGTCGCCAGATAATTTTAGTGCTGTTTTCCTTATTTATTTACAAGTGTGCTACACAATCTACAAAAGATGAGTATGAATCGTTCCTACAAAACGCCAAGTACACAAAATACGTCGATTTACTGGCTCTGTACGCAAAATTGGAAAAGGAATATCCACATTTGGCGAAAGTGCACTCCATAGGGAAATCCGTGGAAGGTCGTGAACTTTTAGTCTTGGAAATCTCAAAGGATGTTACAGAGCCGCATCCAGACCGCCCGATGTTCAAATATGTGGCTAATATGCATGGCGATGAAGCTATAGGCCGAGAATTAGTCATACTCCTGTCTCAGTACCTTCTCCTCAATTATGGCAAGAACGATAGAGTTACGAAGCTCGTTAATGAGACGGATATCTTTCTAATGCCTTCGCTGAACCCCGATGGCTATGAAAAAAGCAAGGTCAGTATAAATTACATACTTTCTTTATTTTAGGTTTTGTTTATTGTATTATTGTTAGCTTTTAAATAAATTGGTGATCTCATGGTTAACCAAAATGTTCAGTTTTGTCTTATTACACAGATGCACTAAGAATGAGCTAAATTTTATTGTGAAAAAGACTTACTGTTTAAAATAATCGTGTTAGAACATGAGCCTGGACACAATTCCAACCGTCCACTAACTAAAACATGGGTAAGTGACAAATGGTCAAATACCCATTTTAAATATCAGACAGACCACAAAATTGTCTTTTAAAAACAGTTAAAATTAGTTAACATGTTGGACTTATCAGAACTTATCCTAATGATGCATAGCTGAAATATCTTTAAACAATTTCAATTTCAAATATTCTAAAACTGGGATAAGGGTTTTTTATGACATCTCAAAAAATTTTTTTGTCACTTAGCCGCTTTTAATTCTCGACATTTTTGCTGTTGTTTTTAAACAATTTTCCTGATAATTTCCAAATAGTCCATTATTCATTTTTTTATACAGCCTCCATGGTCGAATGGCTTGCATACTAGTTTTCATGGTGTTGCCATCTCTGAGATCCTGGGTTCGATCCCCGGCCGGAACAGTGTAGAAAACTAACTTTTCTATATTGTCTCGGGTCTGGGTGTTTGTGGTACCGTAGTTGTTTCCGATTTCCATAACACAAGTGCTTTAGCTACTTACTTTGGGGTGAGAGCAACATTATGTGATGTTGTCTAATATATACGAGTATTTATTATTTATCATTTATGAATCATTTGTAATATTTTATTCCACATAGATTGAGCCTATCTGAAAGAGGCCTGAATGTCCTGATGATAGAAATTTATCATTATTACGCACTTTTGTCATCCAAGTATGTGGAAGGTGTATAAATAACCCTTTGTTGCCCATGGAACTACCAGCAGAACTACCGGTTGTTCCACAGGCAATAATAAGCTCATGTGGAACAACCGGAACTACTAGTAGTTACATGGGCAATAATAGTCTCCCTTGTAACTACCAACAGGCCTAGTAGTACTTGAATTTGTGTGGAATTTAGTGCCATGTCTTCTTTTCATACATCTTTATCTAACACATAGTCTTCAATTTTGTAATATGACTTTTCAATTCAAATACTTTTAATGTAAGTTTTAAACTTAGGAAATTATAATCTGAATATATGCTCCGGAATCTTATCGTAAAAACGTATACAGTTCCCCACAAAAGAATTGTTTACCTTAGTTCAATGAAATCGCGTTCAATGAAATGAGTTTGAACTTAGTTCTAATTTGATTTTTTATGTGCTAGTTAAAATACATTTTGAACCGACTTCAAAAAAAGAGAAGGTTCTCAATTTGACTGTATGTTTTTTTTTGTATGTTTCGCGATAACTTCGCCATTTGTGAACCGATTTTGATGATTCTTTTTTGTTGGAAAGAGGGTACCTCAGAAGTGGTCCCATTTAAATTTGAAGAAAATATTGGACCTCTAAGGGTGGCAAACTAGGGGATGAATGACTTTTGAGGTTGGTTTTTTTAGTACTCTGTACTGTGAGGTTAGGTTATTATTGTATTTTTTGGCTAATGGTTCGTTTGTTTTATGAAATTAATAAAACGCTTCTTATCTTGGTAGTAGAATGGGAAAGTATTATTGCCCATATTAGTAGTAGTAGTACCACGGACAAAAACAATTACCTACCCGTGCTATTACTAGGCCTGTCGGTAGTTACACGGGAGATTATTATTGCCTGTGTAACTAAGTGTAGTTTCGGTGGTTCCATGGAAGATTAATATTGCCCTTGGAACTACTAGCTGTTCTGCTGGTAGTTCCACGGGCAACAAAGGTAAGTAACTGTTACCTTAGAATGTTTGTTTCATTACAGTTTTAAGCCTCCTGTAACAAGTACTTTATAAAAGATTATATGGTATCCTTCTGCTTAAAAATATCATGATAATTCAGCTTCTACATAAAAATTCAATTAAAAATTCCTCTTTATAAAATGTAGATTCTCTGTAATATTGGAAAGTAAACCCATGTCTAATTGTGGCATAAAAAAATGCACTAAAATTAAAAAGTAATAAATAAGCAACAATCAAGATTACTGGCCTCCTATCAGCAAGGTCATGTACATTCTCTCTCAATTTTAGATGGTTTTTTTCCCAAGTAAAAAACATACAGGAAAACATAATTAATTTGTTTTTATACTAAACTTAGAATACCAATACAACAAGGAATTTTCTGATGAATTTGAATCAGGGCCTTCACAGTGTAAATTAAATTCAGTTTTCCTTAAAGAGGACAATGGGAGGGGTCGCCGGTCCAGCGTCGCTTCGATGATCACAGTTGGAGTTGTCCTCATGCAGCCTGTCGTCGCCATGCTAGCTAGTCTTTGAAATTTGCCCAGCTTGTAGGTTGCGGTCGTCAGATTGGTTCGTGGCCACCATACTATCGCGCCATAACTGATCATGGGTCTTATCACCGCTGTGTAGAGCTATAGTGTTATCTTGGCTGAGAGTCCCCATTGTTTACCTACCATTCTATGGCACTGCCTTCTGGCAGTAGCTTTTTTAATTTTGTTGTCCAGATGCTTGTTCAGTTCAACTTGTTGTCCAGTATTACCCCCAGGTACTTGACTTCGGTTGATAACTGTAGTTCTGTACTGAAGAGTTTGGGTAGCAGGTTGTTACCCAGTAGTCTTTTGTTTGTAATCACCACTAATTACAGGTTGGAGCCAAGACCAACAGCATTAAGGAACTGAAGGATTTTCCTGGCTCCAACAGTTTTTATGTCCTCTGAGTGTGCCCTGTGCCTACCCAGTATGAAACTTCTAACGCCCATTAGAGGGCAGTATTGGGTGAGGAGATGCACAGGAGTGTCATCCGCCTCGTGGCAGAATCTAAATCTCATTTTCTCTGTCCAATATTTGACATGTGCTTGTTCAAGCCACAATGCTCTGTTAAGGCTCTAGTCAGCATTCTGATGCCATTCCTGTCCAGCGACAGAGCTTCTCTACAGTGTTTGGCACTGACGGCAGCTATCAGGGCTTTTGAATGCTCAAGACTCTTAGTCTGCAGCCACACGTCATGGTAGACGTGTGCGCTCTCATTCAGCAAAGGGAGCTTTGCCAGGCTGTGTGCTATCCTTGTAAATCCCTACAATGGACCTATCTGTTTAGTTTAAGTTTCTGAAAATTGGCTGTAAATGAAATTTTGTTCGCTGTATTGTAGACGTTTCACATCCCTCATAGAAGAATGGCCCCTCATGGATAATTTAATTTGAAATTTACGATGAGCTTTTCATTAAGGAAAACATCTCAATAAAACCTGCATGTCGAAGAAGGTTTGCAACCATCGAAGAACGTGTGCTAGCTTGCATTGGGCCAGCAAGGTGGACTATGTCCTAAACCATAGATTCTCAAACTTTTAAAATACGTGTTTTCAATTATGAAAAAATTATGAAAACACGTATATTTTATATTAACACGAAAAATCACGAGGAAAAAGTTTATGTACTTAATTCAAGTTTTTTTTTCAATTGCGGTAGCTCCCCCTGGATAGCATCAACGCCCCCCAATTGCTTACGAGGCCCCTACCAACCGGTCCCCTAGGACCCTTCAAGGCCCACAGGGGAGCGGTAGGGACCACTTTGGGAAACTATGGCCTAAACCTTCACTTAAGAGGAGACCCGTGCCCAGCTGTGAGACGTATAAATGGGTTGATGATAAATTACAAGCTGAATTGAGGAGATAAGGCAGTGGCACTTACTTATAACGTACTGGAACATCCCATATGCTTCAATTCACCTGCTCATTATCTGATCCACTGATTACAGGTTATCAAAGAATTACAATTCCCGTAAATACATACTTATTACATATTTAGAAACAAGCTATATAACATAAGTCTTCGATAACGACAACTGACCTGAGATATTAAGGCCAATGCATTCTAAGGTACTGTGTGTTGATAAGAAAATTGCATGCCAGGCAAGTGTGAAAACATGTTTGAACAAGATGTTTCATGTTGTTGCTGTAATGTGACATGAAAATGTTGCAATAAAAGTTTAGGAGTAGAAATGCTTTATCACTTGTACAGTCACATGCACTCTAAGGGTCGTATTCTAGAACTCTACTCAATGCTCAAGTCAGGATTTGAGTATGATTTAAAGCACTAGAAATCATACTCAACTCCCTGCCACTAGAGTCGTATTTCCAGTTCTAGAATACGACCCTAAGAGCACATAATTTAGGCTATGAGCATACTAGAGCCTATGAGCGCAAAAGTGGTATAGCCAATATTTAATTTGTTTTTTACAATAATAGATTAATAATTAAATACTTTATTTAATAATACTAATAATGGTTTATTTTCTCAACACAAGGAAATAAAGATACACTTATTTTATAATACACTAAAAGAGATAATAGATTAAAAGTTGTATCCCTTGTGAGAGAATGGAGACCGTACTAGGCAACTAAACCTATATTACAGCTCACCAGGCACTCACCCTCTCAGAGTAGTTTTAAGTAAAGTCAATAATCTTAAAAGAAAAAAGCAATATACTGTTGAGCAACAAAAATTGTAAATACTATCAATTATGCTAAAAACGTACGTGTTAAAATGTGTAAGTTAGGTGTACGTAGATGCGCGAGCGCGAGCGTATGTGTGTAAGTAAATGTGAGAGAGTGTGCGGTGTGTGCATATGTGTGTACATATGTGTGTGTGTGTGTGCGTGCGTGCGTGCGTGCGTGCGTGCGTGCGTGCGTGCGTGCGTGCGTGCGTGCGTGCGTGCGTGCGTGCGTGCGTGTGTGTGTAAATTCATTAGTTCTAATAATTAAATGAGAACGGCAATAAGATTTTCAGTTTCCGGGTAATCTAGTTTTTGCAACTTACACTCATATTTGGTAAGTTTTGTATATGTGTAATGAAAAATTTAGTTTGTTATATAAATAACCACTCTGAAAGCAAAAGAAGCGTTGTGCAAAACTG